GTGGGGGGGGTGGGGGGCAAAAGTAGTGGCAATTTTGAATAACAATTTATAATAATTTTGTACTATGTGAAAAAGTGACATGTGGTAATGAGTGGTTTGGTCACATAGTCTAAAACTCTTTCGTCTATCCCTAGAGCAATTGTACCTGTCTCTGTGCCGTAATATATGTGTACACCACCGTAGAGCAGAAATGACACTACAGCCCCCCCCCTCGTATGACTGATAAATTGAGTTAGACATTCTCGAATCAATCTAGCTCGTTTTCGTGGCACTGGGTCTAGGATACTCGTATTTCTGAAATGTAAGTCTTTGTAACACGCTGTCCTCGATCGGCAATTCTAAAAATCGGGGGTCGCCGGCTGTTGGCCTCCAAAAGAAGTCGTGGAACTAAACGGTTTGAAAATCCCTGTCCTCGATGGGTCGAACACCAAGTGAAAAAGACTTTGCATCATTGGCAGTGCAGCTGTGACCAAAGGCGGGTGGTTTCGGTTAGCCTCGGTCCGTCGGAAGAACTCTTCCCTATTCCGTTATAATTGAAAAACCAGTTGTTAAAACACGTTAAGTCACGAAGCCGAAAACCCCAAGACGGTGGGGCGCGCGATGACACGATACCCGCACTCACAGGCTATAAATCATAAAGGAGAACCACAATTGTCGAGATAAGGTGCGTTACGCTATCGACCGATGCGATGTGAGCGCTCTATGATTCGACTTGCATGAAACGATAATACGAGAATCTCGGACACGTGCTGGTGTTGAAGAGCCCCCTCAAAAGGGAGGTGGGAGGGAGAGGGGAGTATGTGGGAACAGGGAGAAGCGTCGATCCCTAACGTCCAAAAAGACGTAGGAAGAGCGGACATGTCCGTCTTTTCAAGTAACAATGAGGGTGGCTTCCATGATCGCTTCGGTCACGTTTTGGCACCCCTTCTGAATTTGCGCCCTGTGCTTGTGCGTGTGGCACGTGCCTAAGGCCGGCCTTGGATGTGGGCATCTTCGATTCTTCCTCGGGAAAATGTCACGCACTGGCAACACGGTCTGATGCCAAGCGTTCGTTGAGTCGGTCTCCCGAAAGTACTGTTGCCGAAATCGAAACGACCACGGCCGAATCCGATCGGGCTTCTGCGAATGTCGTCGGGAAAACCCGTCCTATCAGTGAGTCTTTCCACGGCCGACTCTCTTTCTCTCCCTCTGTCTCTCGGATGAAAAATCTCAAAGAGAATTTTCACCCTCTTTGGTTCTTCTCCGCAACTGCAAATTTACGGGGATGAATCAGCTGAATTTGAAAATCTTGCAGTTGGTTCTCTATTTTCGCTACTAAATCACTGTTTAAATGCAAATGCCTTCATTAGTTTTGGAGAAGCCACCCAACACTTTACGAAGTGTCCCAGAATCGACAGAACATAGAAGGCATAGTCTCGTAGGCCTCGCGCATTAGGCTAATGTAGCAGAGGCCGAGGTCAGAGCAGCCCAGATACGAAACGAGTAGGGGACGTTACGTATAGAAAGTTGTTTCACAGAAGAGACCTGTTTGTCGTATTATTATTTCCTGGAAACGGTATCATTTCGCTGGTATCCCCGGTTCCTGTTTGGAAGTTAATTGCCCGATTTCTCCTTCATCGGGAGATTCAGATGGTCGTTTTGCAATGTCCAAATCTGTTGCAGCGATCACGGAGCTCCTCTCTTGAAAACAACGATATACCCTTTCGTTCACCTTTCCACCTTTTCCAATACACCCTTTCGTTTTTTCCTCGCTTTTAAACCTATAGCCTCCCACCTTTAATTGATCGCGTTTCGAAGTCACTAATCCCGAAATCCTAAAGGGCACCGTCGCTGAGCACAATTCTGAAAGACCTCTAGCCGGTCCTGTACTAGCAGGTCTTGTCTCATAAACGACTTTTCTGTAAAAAGGAGCTTCAGGTGAATCGGTTTTCTATGAAACGCCCCGGTCCTTACGAACCCCCCAGCGTACAGTTACCTCTGGGACACCCTGCATTATTTATTCTATTACTATAATATGAAAGCCGAAAGGAGAATTCGCAAGACGTGCCATGGAGGGTGACGGTGCCTTCACGCGAGAAATCTCGGGCGTGACAGTCGAGCGACTGAAAACGGGAAATGAAGATGGAAGAATCCAGAACCCTTTAATTTGGGTCCGTCCATGAACGGTGGTGGCGTGCATCGAGTGAGGATCGTCTCCTTCCCCCTTCATCAATACGTGATGGAGGAACGGCTCGATCACGCTCTCCCTCCCCTATTCGAGCGAGCACAATGCATGCTGTGGGCGTATGGTTCAATGCAATATCTCACCTCCCCCTTTTTTTTTCGTCTTTTGGCCGAATGTCGGTGATCACAGTCCCTCCCCCCCCCCCCCTCGCTCCATCAACGGTCCACTGACGGAAGGTCGAAGAAAAAATGAACGGACAGTCGCGATAGAAGTGAGACCGGAAGATATTGAGGAATATCATGCCATGCATCCATCGGTGCTCTCATCAGTCGCTCATTCGTGTCACAAGAAACGTTTTTTGGTAATACTTCACGGGATGAGCCGAGAATGGCAGGATAGCGACTTCCTCGAGCGCAGCCAATTTTTATAGCCGTACGAACGCGATGTTCGTCGTGGGTCCAACTCCCAAGAAAATGGGGACGGCACGATCGCGAGTCACGTCTGATTCATTCCAGCTTTGAAACATTGAATTCATGATCCCCAGTAACGAACCGAGTGGCGAACTCGAGCTTATTTAAACCGAGAAGCAGAACTCGAATCAAACTTCTCCTGCTGCCTCTCGATAACATTCCGACGACGGAGAGCGTTTCGTTTCTTCTGTGAGGCTATCGTATTGCAAAGTTCCACTTGCCGTGGGAACGATGAATGGCATGTCGAATGTCAGAATCAGAACTTTGGGCTTACAAGGCAAGGAATTACGTATCGAGTGCCCACACCGAGACCACAGGCACGCGAAGGAGGATCGTTTCTCCAAGGTGTGAACTATTTCCCGTGTTAACTTCTTTTTCCCTTCTGCCCTGCCCTCTCGACAAAGTCGAAAGCCGGTGATTCCCAATTCATTCCATGAGTCTCATTCGGGTTGAAGCCCGTGAATGCTGTGAAATACACTGTCGACGTGAAGTCGCCTCTTCATAGAAAAGAAAACTGTCTATTCGCCATTTTGAATTAAACTTATCATGGTTCTGGACAGGAAACTTCAGGCATTATCATCTTTCATTTGGTTCTTGGCGATTTCCCGAGGGAAAGTGCCACGCCCTTCAGACGAATAAAACAGGATCTGGCTCTCTAACCATGTTCTCTCTTTGCAGTGCAACTGATCGCACTCGGCTCGTTTTCGTTACTAGTTTCTCGAGGTCACAAGACTCGTGCGTTCTCGTGGCGTAAGACTCGAGTGCTCTCACACGAACCCACTTTTAAACCGATGAAACAAGTATTGGCTTGCTTGCCGTTTGCTGGTCATTTAAGTTGCCTATACGAGAGGGAAATAAAAAAAAAGTTCATGTTTTGGTTATCCAATCAGAACTATCTAAAGCGAGTTCTTCATATCGTAAATATAATGTATCGTAACATGCATGATTTTGCAGCTGGTGGACGTGCATGTGTACGTGGTGCCGAAGGAAAAGTGGATCCGATCGAGGCGGCTGGCGGCGAATAAGGTCTCGATGACCTCCGTCTCTGCTGGATTCGTCAGGTCTTCACCGGAACCGATTCTTAACAGTCCTGGCTCGCGTTTCTCGCTCGAAGAGGGAAGAAAAGTTGATCCCTGTCGCTTTTCCAGAGTGATGCCGGAATTGAGCCTGTTCAACCTGAGGCCGGAGCTTGCCACCCAGCTCGGTTATCGAGACGTTCCTCATCGATACGTGTTCCTTCGATCCGTTGGACGACATTTTACGGCTGTGAGTTTCCCTTTCGTCCCGCGTCCGCGTTATTTTTTCATCTGCTGCTTTTTAGTCTCCCGTTACGATGTCCTGCGATAGATGGCCTCCATGTGTCCGAGGCTCAGCGCCCACGAGCGGGCATTCGCTCGCTAGCTAAACTTCACCCCTTCCAAGGCCCAAGTAACTTCTACCCTTGCGAGACTGAATTTGGCCCGTTGTGGTTACTCCAGAGATAAACTTCCCAAGGGAAGGTGTAACTATTTGCGGTTACAGGTACAACATTAGGCTGCAACAATAATTGGTTCCCAGCTACGATTGGCGAAAAGTAACCGAGGAAAGTTCCAGTTTTTGCGCTCTTTGAACCTGGAAATGAATGAACATAATCTGAATCAATCTCAAAAAGTGATTAGTACTGCGTGAAGTCACCACTGCATCGAAAGAAGGGTTGTATTTCGAGGTTCCTATCAGATATCCTTAATCCCTCTGGCCTGAAAATATCCCGTCCTGCATTGAACAGTGTCACATACGGAACTGGCCGGCAGGGGAACGTTCAACTCGTTTTTCTGTTACATGGGGCTCACTTCTCCTCTCTTCTTCATTCAAATTCAGAAAAGTGATTATTTATGGATGAATTAAAAAAAATTTCTGTGCAGGTTCATGGTGAGAAAAAATAATTATTCCGTGAAATGCTCGCCATTTCAAAGTTCTACACAACTCCGCTTTTGACCGCTTGTCTGGTTGCAGTAATTGATGCCTACAGGACTAGTGGATACTAATGAGCGAAGGCAACGGAAAACTGTATTGTATTGTTACGACATGGAAAGATAAGCTGCAAGTAGACAGAATAGGTAGAGGAATCCCGCATGCTCCCAGGGAAGCGTAACTCGTTACTATAACTTCGTTCCCTTTTCTTCTAAAATAAAAGGAAGTCGTTATCGTTACTAGTTAAACATAGCAAAATGTAACTTGTTTCGCCTCGAGTTACAAAAAATAACTTCGTAACGGTAACGCACTACTTTTACTCAGCTACTGCAAATCACTGTTCACCACTGGAGTTTTTTTTTACAATTATTATTATAACATGCATAGGGATACTGTAGTGTTAAATGCACCTTTCCCAAGAGCGTCAGGGCTTGCACGAAGAAGTAAACGCCCGAATTTCGAACCAGAGGCTCCTGTCGTGTGAGTCAAGCGAGCTACCTATCGAGCTACTCGCCTGCCCCCTTCGATTCGAGGCACTCACATGCCTGCTTCGACTCATAAGTAGAGGTGCCTCTTACCTAGTCCCCTGCTCGTTCGTTCGATGATTTGCCTTCGGAAGGGCGCGCAGGGATAGGCGCAGTCTGCAAGAGCGCTCTGACCTCGAGATTCCCAAGAACGATAAGAGGGAGACAAGGGGGGACTGCATTCAATTTATGGGGTATAACACGAACGGTGGCGATAAGGAGCGTTTATGCATAATTTGTGGAAAGAAGGTCGACGAGCTCTGCGGCCATTGGTCCTGTTTCCCACGCAAAAAGGCAACGCCAATCGATATATATAGAGAGAGAGGAGTCCCAGTTGATTGTGCGACGGGAACCTCCCACATTTATGGTGAATCGTCGCAGTGCGGTGCAAGTATTATGTCGCAAGGTGAAAGTCCGTTGTTTGCTCCGGCAGACGTTTACCCGGAAGAGGAATTCCGGGAAATTCTTTGGAATGGTTTGAGTGAGGAATACGAGATCCAGGGTCTCATCCTTAGGAGAAAGAGATCTCGGACACGCAACCCTGACGTGAGTTCTTCCGAATTCATGAAGGACCTTCTATTATGAATCTTCGTACGGATTCAAATCCTGCCGTGCTCATACCAGTATTCTAAGTATATGCATAAAACGTAAAATGGAGCTATATCATAGCTGCGAGTGGGTTCATTGACTTCTTGGATGTGCGTGATGGAAGCAATCCCATCGATCACCTACGACAGGCTCCACGAGTACAGTAATTTTTTTGTCCATCTGGGATGTAGTGAAAGCCGACGTTGAAGGCATAACAGTGTAGAGCATATAACCATGCCGAACGAGGTTCTGTACGAAAAATATGTCCAGGAGTCCAAACAAGAAGGCCTTGTTTTTGCTGCATCCGAAAAGGGAACGAAAACATGAGTATGCCACTCGAGCAACTTGTACCGGATCCGTCGAAGTTAAACCAGTCCGATTTCATCATTAACACGCAAGGGAATGAGATTAATCCTGTTAAACGGGTCCATTATGAAACTAGGTCAGTTTCAGGTAAACCCCTCTGTTGCTCCAATAAGTGACGCGCACCACATCGGAGTAACACCTCATTTCTCTGCGGGTTCCTATGGGCATCAGCGTAACGACGACGATATCATTTCCACAAGCTCTTATGAATTCAAATTAATTTAAAAGCCAAAGTATCTTGTCCATTTTTCTCTCTAGTGAACATCTTCCGCCTAATCCCAATACTTTTTTGCTTGTGCTTCTATTGCATACGTCAGCTTCGCGTTAACTTAGAGCGATATCCTGTATTACATAGGATGACCGTGAAATCACCAGGTTACTGCGAAACTTCTTGGGTAGAAAATAATAAATCCACCACATCATTTAGCTCACGTATAACAAACGAAGCCAAACTCCGTCATATTTCAAGTGAGAATGAATTGAAGTGGAGCGAGAAATGCAGCTGTAATCTCTCGCATCCAAATATCCGCATCGAAAGGCACATAAATGTCTTAATGTTGAATCTGCTTGTGCAGGTGAAGCTGCGCCAGGAGCACCACGTGAAGGTGAAGAACTTCCTTCCCCCGGCGACGACCGAGCCGGCAGTGTTCGTGATCGAGCCACCACCCGATGACTACTTCGAATCCCACCCACCCCATCAACTTCCTCTCGAATACGGCACTCGACGTAAGCTCGTTGTTCCTCGTCGAACCTCCCCATCCGATGGCAGCCTTGAAGCCCGCCCGCTCCATCGACTCCCTTAAGAATCGGGACTCTGATGCGCGAATCGCTCGCATCCACGCTGTAAGACTCTCACGTGTGCATCGAACGTAAACGAAAGATTCGCGAATCGATGACTCTCGGCACCTTCCCCGTCCTTGAGGAAGGTGCAGGGGAAGGTAGGGACAATTAGAGGTCATAAAGCACCTCGGAACGGAGGGGAATCCGTCCTGCATGAGAGAAGAAAAAACCGAGGAAGAATTGTGTTTGGTCGATCTCATCATCTGCGTGACGGTATGGTCACACGAAGAAGAGGAGAAGAAGAAAGATGGAGAAGGGAGGAATCTTTCTTCTCTCCATATTCACCCTTAATGGAAGCGGACGTGTTAATGACCTCTAGGGACCATCTTCATGGTTTCCCCACTTTTCCTCTCTTCGTATGTATGACTGTCGCCACGCAAGGTCCTCCAGATTTTTCTCCCCCTCACATCACGAAGCATGATATGCAGAAATTAATCGCGATCCTCTCTTCTTCCTTCAAAGTTTAAGAGATACAGTAAAATGTTTAAGCGATTCATATTCCGTAGGACTTCGGGAGATCCGACTGGATATGATAGGCATGACGTGAAAGCATGGCACGAAGACGTGCCAGGGGGGCATGGCATGAAGTAATGGCATGACCCAATGAAACGCAAGAAAACGAAAGAAGTTTGACGACTCCACCTGTCTTTCCTATCACCATTCATTTCCCAATCAGCTTTTTTTTTTGTTTCGACACTAATCGCGGGAAACAGACATGACAGGATTTGAGTGGTTCAGGGTTTGAGGGGTGCTCAGAACTAGTTGAGGAATCGGGAGGCATCTTGACTTACTCCCTCTCGCTCGACCACTCGATGCGGCTGCGTGTGTGTTGGCGATTAAAAGCCTGTTTTTTGAGTCACGGGGCAACATGCTATGATACATTTTCGTCATTCCCTTGCTGCGCGGTGTTCGATCCATCATTTTGCCGTTCGCTATGTGTCTTCTGGTTGTAATTAAAGGGGATGAAGCGGTATAGTATGTGACAGCCGATCTGAAAATATCTGGGATTCTAAACGAACTGATGGGAGAGACGCCGAGAACAGAAAGGATACTTGATTTTTGCTCGACCACGCGGAGTCCGAAGCCATGGAAGGAGAAGCCCATCAATGTCAAGTAGAATCGTTGAAAAAATCGAGTTAATGAGTCCATGATCGATGTCACTCGTGCCCTGCGCCTTGTTGCCGGTCGAGAAATTACTTGGTTAACGAAGTCTCTCGTGGTCACGACTCCCTCTCATGAAAGAAGTCCTATTAAAATGAAAAATATGTGGACACACGACCGAGAAGTCTATAGTCTCGAATCGGTCATAAAAACTCGCGCACGTTAAACACCGAGAGAATGATCGATGACGGAGAGACGAACGACATGATAACCCCCTCGGGAGGCGGAAATTCAGGGTCGGAAAGTCCTGATACTCAGAGGCACGCATGCTTTGGATGATGTGTAACCCCTGCTATCTCGCATCATTCGTGCTATGTATCGTCCCCGTCGTCACGAATATCCCTTTGCATGCATTCATTAGATGCACGTCCAAGGGCATCATCATCGGAATTCAGGGAAATGAATCAGCCCGTACGACATCGTCCATCATCGTAATGCATCCGCAACCGAAGTGAAAGGGATTAGTGAAGGCTTCGGGAATCGAAAAGTAAGGTTTTAAACGAAATTCGGCTCCCTGTTACAATGAAGAAGAAGAGGAAGTTCATCACTTTCCAGAAATTGAAATTTGAAGTTGCTTGTAAAAGACTTAGGAAACATGAAAAAATGTATACATTTGCAACCGTGGCAAATTCCCCGATCCGCAACATTATTGTAAGATTTTTCGCTGACACCATGTCGTGCATTCACACCAAAGCTCGTTTGATTTGAACAGGATCTCACCCGCAGATGCCAGAGACTCCGTCGATGGTATACCTCGTACCCAGTCGAAAAATTTTCATCGGGCCATCGATGGCTTTTCGTCGGCGCGTACATAAGCCTTTGTTGGGCCATCACTGGCATACGGTTGGCTAACGGTTGGTTTAAGCCGGATTACGGTCGGGCGTGTCCTGTTGGCCCTTCATCGGGCCAACTTTGGCTCGTTGTTGGGAAACCGCACATGCCCCAGCCATTAGCCGACTTTTCACGATGATGAAAAGATATGGGAGAAAAACCCACATAAACTGCATCTTGCTGCACTATGGATCTTGGAGAGATTATAATGCATCCTTTGGTCCCCTACTGTTTCTTCATCTGGGAGAGATGAAGGGGCAGTACCTCACCCGTCTACCTTATATAGGTACACTCATTTCGACAAGAATATCACAAGCTACTTCCCTTCCAAATGCTGAGATGAATCTCGTGGGAATGCAAGGATAGGTACCCTTGCATTCCCATTAAATTCCCTGTCCTCCCGCAGAACAGGCACCCCTTTCACGTAAGACGACTTTTTAGCGTCATTAGAGAAGGGAAAAGGTCGCGTAGCTTATGGTGGAAAGTAGAAGAATCCTCCCACGGACCTCCGGGCCGGAATTTCCTGGTTTATTCCAGGGCTAGGTTACATCATCAGAGAAACGTTTCAAGAAATTCAATTGTCTTCCTCTGCGATCTATGGGAGCAACCATACGGAACCATGTCAAAGGGACAGGGGACTCATTTCGGTAGAAATCCATGAAGTGACTCCCCACTACGACCAATTTGGCTCCATCTCAAGCCAGTTTTCAGAACCTTCTCAGCTACATTGACTCATCTTCGGCGAATCATTCGCCAAAGATGAGCCAATTTCCCCAGCCCCTACGATAAACCAATTACTGGTAAAATGTCATCTGCATATACGTATCTGTTCCTCCCGCACCGTGAACAAGACTCGATGGCACCAACAAGCGTAAAACAGGGAATAGCGCCCTAATCGCAAGATTAGATGATTGTGTTGACTAGGGGTACCCAAAGTGCAGTCCGCGGAGTGTTTCCGTGCGGTACGAGAGGAGATTTGGGGTAAACGAAAATAATATGCAAATTACAGGGTATGAAGAAAAAGACCAGCAACTTCGAGTATATTTCATGATTGCTTAAATCACATCTCACCAAATTAGCTGTGGATATAGTACGTCTTCGTTTATTTGAAAGTCGACAAGACCGTAAAAACATTAATTTGCATCAAAATTATAAACGATATTCTACGAATAGTCTGAAATTTTGAAATGGACAGTTCCCTCGAAAAAGCCGAGGGAAATTCTGACTGAACTTTGAGAAAACTCTATATCGATATCCGCTTATTCGTACGCGGTTCTTCTGGAATAGCTCGTGAAAGCCATCTGCAAGAGACAACCAGCCTAAAGAAGGAATTTGAATGGAAGAGGAGTTCGACGTCGACGACCAGGAAGGACAGCGCGAGAGTGCGCAATCCATTCCGCTGTCAGCAGGAGCTCTTGTCCATTCTCGATGTCTAACTTTATTTAAATAATTGCCGAGAATTCGGATCAAATTTTGAGAATCGATTGGAAACGTACGTATATGTGCTTAGTGAAAGTTTCGCAAAAACAGTTCGATTGTGGGCAGAGATATTAGGGTTAAAATTCGCTGGTAATTTTTGCCCTACCCTGCACATCGGAGATGAGAGTGATGACGAAAGAGGAAAACTGTGCGTACAGGGAGGTGAACGTCCCCTGCCCCTATGGGTGCAGAAAAATATTTTCGTCAGACAGAAAGCTTCTCGTGTTATCACCCTCCCCCCCCCCCCCCTCATCACCATCAACCTTTACCTATTCTGCTGAACTACTGAATTTTGCGGCCCTTGGACCCACCACCTACAAGCTCCACAGTTTCAATCACAAAAAGTTTGGGCGCCTCTGATGTAGACGATGCATATGCGTCACCCCTACATTCCGTTTCTCCATAGACTTATGCATTGATTTTATGCGACCTCTTTTTTACTCGAGACGATGCCAGATCTGATCAGAGAGGAAAACTCAGGTCTCGTCGCAAAAGTTAACATCGATGCCAAACAGCGGTTATCAACACCTATGGCCGTTTAGGAGGCCGACAGACAGACGCAGAGCCCAAACTGTATTAGTTCCTCCGCTTTTTTGTGAAGGGATGGGATAGGATTGTGGCCGAGGGCTGGAAGGGCGGCCGACAGGTCGATCCGATGATTCAAAGATCACGAAAACAGTCTATCTCTTGCAGTTCGTATTCGATCCGTGTCACCCGCGCGGCCTCCTACTCGAGGAAAGGCTCTATTACCGGCTTTGTCCAGCAGTGCCACGAAGCACCACGACCACCTTCTTCACATCATCGAAGGTAAATTCATAGTTCCTCTTCCACCGCTCATATTCAAGTTCCTTTTTTTTTCTTAAGTAGAAGTCGGCTCCTTTATGATAGGACTTCGGACCGACTTCTGCTGAAAATGGTTTCAAAGTACGGGTTGAGATATCGGGTTGAGTTGAGGTAAGCCGCGTGGGATCATCGCTAAAAGATTAGGAAACGTTATGAATGTGATGGAATGTGATAGTGCGCGGGGATGATGGGAGTTTGCGAGCAGAACTGGTGAATTTCGAGGATTCTCATGGATCAAGGGAGGATACAGAAGACTCTGGATTTGCAGGAAACAGTTCCGATCTGGACGATTCACCTGTCAGCCACCCGGACATCCATCAAAACAGCAGGTGAAGTTCAACACCTTCCATGATGTAGTCACTAGAACTTTCGACGGGCAACCTCTTCGGAGAAATTTATATTTTCTTTAATTGCATTTACGTAATGCATTACCTCGAGCTCTACGCAACCTTCAACGAGAGAAAATTTGGACGATTTCTTCTCCCCAGCCTGACGAGAGAATCCAGAGAGAAGATTCGGGATGCGGAGGGGCACATCAAGTATCGCTCCAAATCGATGGAGCAGATCAGGTCGGATGAATTCGAGACGAAAGAGATCAGGTTCCTCGACGACGACGTGCTTTTGGATCCTCGAAGACGAAAGGACATCACGGACAAGGCCACGGCTCGGCACCTTTTCCACATTCACAGATACAGGGGACCCAGGGAAAAGGACTTTCACAGTCGCATCCCCGTTGCCGTGGGACGGAATCCCAAGATCTCTCTCGCTTTGGCCGATCCTCTCCAGCGGGGACACCTGGTAACGTCATTCTCTGTTCACGTCAGTTCAAAATCCTAGCTGTAGCAGCACTTTGCTCAAGCTTGTCTCTCTCTGGTATTCCGTAATGGCAAGATGGCCGTAATGTAAATTAAGAGCGTCAGCGCAACGGATCATCCCGACGCATCGATGGGTTTCATCTGAAATACTTTGCCTCAAGAACAGTGCAGATGATCCACGCGTAGAGCAAAAGGTAAATAAAAAGTTAAAATATAGAAAACTGGAATTTTTTATGTTGCAATTGGAGATTCACAAGCACAACTGCCTGAACCATGACATGCCGGCGCCGATGACGGGCGAGGAATATCGAAACCTGAGACGCGGTCCGACAAAGGGGAACCTGAGGAATCTGTTCCAACGAATGAGGCGACATAAGCACCGACAGGAAGACAACGAAGAGAGGAGTAAGGCGGATGCAGAAACGCTGACCAACAACTCCATCTTGTCTGCCACCAAATTCCTTCAACGAAATCGAGAACAGGAGGAACTGCGACGGAGGAGGAAGTTCGAGATGGAACAGAAGGCTCAAAGAAGTGGGTCGCTTACCCCTTTCCGGATCAGTTCGGCATGATCTGTTTTCTAGTGAATTTATTACTTATTCCAGTTTGCACGTTGAAGAACGAGTTGGGATCTCTGAGACACGAAACGCGAGAAAGAGAACGCGTGAGGGCTCGCCTCGTCGACGAAGCCCATCGCCTTCAAGAAACCTACAATCGACGAGTGGCCGACGTCGGTTTTCTGACGAACTGCCCTTTTCTCATTCCGTTTCCTTTCCTTCACGTGGTCTACTGTTATTCGCACAGGAGCATGAGAGATGGCACAAGATGTACCTGCTGGAGAAAAGGAGGACGAAAGACCTGGAGGCTGCTTGCACCGCTCTTCGCAAGGATTTGGAAGTCCTGCACAAAAAACTTCTTACAAGACTTCGCTCCTCGTCTGTTCCCGTTGGCTACGGCAAGGAAATGCCCTCGAAAAAGGTATACCATTTTCATGAGAAGAGTTCACCATAATTTTTTTACAGAGAAAAAAATAGTATACGTCGTTTCATAAATAGCATGGAAACTTCGTTTGTCGTCACTTTTTATGATCTGACTTGGGACTAGGACTTTAGAGGGAATCGATCTACTTATAGCGTTTTCTTTCCCTCTTCCTGCAGCTGAACCATAAAATAGCATGTATGAGATACGAGCACGAGATCTTGGATCTGAGGAAACGGGTCGAGAACGTTCACATCAGGGTCGAAGCCGAAGACAAGGTGAGTTGCTTTCAAGGGGCGAAAAGTGGCGTTGCCATGTGGCACTTTTCAAGTCAAGTTTTTGGGCTCTATGTTTTCGACTTAGTGAGCGATGGAAACACAAGTCTGGCTCTTTTTAGGTTTCAAGTTTAGCCTCACACGTTGCGTTATGCCTGCCATCCCATATAGAAATATAACTGAATCAAGATGCCGGCAATCTAGTGTGATTTTAGTAGTAATAAATGTCATGCTGCTTTGATTTATTTTTAAAATTTTCATTCAACGTAAACTATTTCACCATTCGTTATTTTTTAAATGACGGTTATGCTGGGAATTGATATGTCACCTGGTGAATAGGTGAGCAGCTGCTGGGAGCCCCTTTTCCGTGGCTTATACCCACAAGGTCCCTCTCTCAGAACTCGTGTTTTTGCCAACAGATTCAATAATTATTTGGAATACATTCATCAAGACTTCCGAACAAGCGGAGTTTTAAACGAATCTACCCCGTACTTTTAAAGAAACTCCTCTGATTTGGAGATCTTAGTGGCAATGTATTGTGCCAAATATAGTATGAATGCGTGAACGTGAACAAGAATTCTGAGATGAAAGTTGAAAAATACGTGCAAAGACAGACTCTCAGCCCTGCTCCTAACTCTGGAATTAAGCCTCCAAAAGGCGACTCCACTCCTGGAGCTTTCAAGTCTAGTTTAATGTAGAATAGCCGACATGGTTCCATGGTTGCTTCTGTATCTCTACCACGTCGCATTCTACAGGCACTTTAAGTCTTTCATTTCATCACTCTTCCCCTCCAGTTTCTTCAGCTTTCGTGAGATGTCAACATCTTCTCTTCATAAGATAATGTTGAAAATTATTACGTAAGAACGAATTCGTAGAACTATTCTCCTCTTGCCTCATGTGAGAAGTAAGCCCTCGGTCGTTGAGAGTAATACTCCAGCCGTTGAAATTGCAACACCGCGAAGCCATCAAAGTATCAACAAATTCTGCACAGCGGCAGACGATAGACAACCGAAGAAATTACTAGACTTAAAAAAAAAATCCGTCTCCAGGTATCGTGAGGTGCGCTATTACTTCATGAAATGAGTTATATAAGATAGTACACCTCAACAGGTTATGGCAAGGCACCCGAGTTTTAACAGGTAAATACTGCAATTACTTTCATGAAACTTGGACGGCTATGTTCCTTTAGAAATTTCATTCAAAGACAATGTGCTTTTCCTTGTTTTTGTTGAAAGAGGAGGCACGCGAGGTCCAGTCATTTCTGAGACACCAGAATCCCCCGTCCATTTTCAACATCCTATTTGTTTTGAAGAATCGCCCAGTCTTGCCTTGACAGCTTTCATTCGGACTTAATTTCAAAAGGCTCTCGGGTCTATCTATTCACTGAGATGGTTTCTGGCTTTGACTAGAGCAGAGATGTGTTCAATGTTGGAGTCCTTCGATGCAGTCGGAGATGGTCATACCACCTACTGAAGGACTGCAATAATCGGAACGTAATGGTGCACCTCACACTACTTAGGAGGCATGCATTTGTCAGGAAGTGTAATCATTTCGTTATTCTCAGTCAGCTTGCGAAATTCGGTTGCACTAAGAATGGCCAATGTATATGAACGCAGTGACTTCAAGACGTGACTCAAAATAATTGTGGTTGAGTTTATTTTTACTCGCTTGAAATATTGATCTTGTTTTGATGTTCCCTTTCCTCCCAGCTGAAGAACCATGCCCAAGAGGAGATCAAGAACCTGAGGAAGGATATGGGAGAGAAACGAAAGATCGCTTTGGAGTTGCGAAGGCAAAATGAACTGGGTGGCCACCTGGTCCATTCCCAGATGACAACCAACCTGGTCCGTTCCCAGACGACGGCCAACCTGGCCCGGCCCCACTCGAAGGCTCCTCATCACAGATCCACTGACTTTTGAGATCGTGAACTCAGCAATTCAACCTGATATTTCATTCTCTTTGATGAAATCGATGGGAAAACGCGCAGCTGTGATAATCGTAGTATCCATTTCTAACTTTGGCCTTAGTCCGCGCACAGAAATCGTTATTTTTCGTGCCAAGACGACGGATTCAATGCCGCAACAGTCACTTCATCCGAGTGTTGATCTCTACGTGTTTCCTCCAGTGTCCGAAGGTATACAGGTAGCTTCTGTCGGAGCATTTTTTCCTGAATACAATCTTGTGACTTTCTCAATCAGGATATTTCAACACGTTGAAAGGAAACTTTCTGGATGACAACGACAAAACGTTTCTTTAATGCATGTAATGAGGTGAAGCACACTAAGAATATTCAAAAGTCATCACTAATTAAATATGAAACTTTTACCTGGCATCATTCCCTCTAGACAGAAGGCCAAAAGAAGTGGAATAGCAAAGTCATGTTCTCCAGAATGAAATAAAATTGGTCGGGCTTATTTACTGTAAACCTCAGTTTCAGCTTCAGGTTGAAAGAATGTTCTAAACCGAACAGGAGGTTAAAACTCTCGTATCTAGTAGATTGCCGGGAAGTTTTTGTCAACGATGACAATAGAAGAGGTAGCTTGATGACGTGGTTCATCGTTTAGTCACGTTGCGAAAATTAAACAAACACTGGTGCGACAAATGTTGATGAGACCGTTTCTGGGCTAAAACCGTTGTTACCTAACGATGGAGATAGATGACAGCATTCCTACAAGAGAAATTTGTGAAATTTTTTGTCAAATGCCAAAATAATTGATGAATGGAAGGCCCGATATCGCCACCAACGACAAGGTACAACCTTTGGTCATCTGACAACCTGCACCATACAATGGCTACGACCTCTGTTCCCAGGAATCCATCAGCCGAGAGCCGAGTGGGCTTCCTCTCTCTTCCTCCTCCGTGCTCTTCCGTTATTAGGCTGGCTGGAATTTGTCTGGGTATTCACTAAAATTCAGAATTTTTTATTTTCATTATCGGTTGATATTTTCTGCCAAGGAACCCAAAACGAATCCCAAAATTTCGAGGAGCTTCACAAAAACCAGCAATAATTTTTACAAACGACTGATCGACTACACTAACCTTGGCTAGACCAAGGTTGCATGACCAAGAGTTACTAAATAAAGTGCATCAATTTCGTGCTTCGACTCATTTCGACAAAATTGTGAAACCCTGTCTTCCCTGATCGATAGGACACCAGAGTTTGAATTAATTGCAAAGAATATCGACATCAAAGAAGAATAGTTATTCCGTATTAATGAAGAGAAACTTTTGATTGATGACGCTTGACATGTGACAGCGTGAAATATGCATGTGGAGCTGTCGTGTCGCAGTGTTCCACAATCGTACGTAACCGCCTGATGGGCCTGGTCGTTTCTCTTTGAGCCTTAAAGTTTTATTTTTTTTAGTTCGACGAACATCTCAATGATGAAAGCGATGATGGCAGCTGCGAATCCGACTCCCAACATGAGGAAGACGGATTGGAGATGGTCCAGAGAGATCGCCGTGTTAACTTTATTCTCCAAACTCTTTGAGCTGAACTGCTGCCGACTCGCCGCCACCGGATCGCTCGTGAACGTCGACCTGTTCAATTTCATCGACATCTTCCGGTAGAGTTCCTCCAGCCACAAGGCCATCATTCCGCTTTCCTTCACGTGTGCCATGGCTTCATGGAATTCATCCTTGAAGAAGGCGTGCTTCCGGGTGAAGAAGGCGATGCTATACGGTAAGGGGCAGACGTCGAGGATGTAAAACGGGACCCCGGATTCGTTCATGAATTCAAGGGCCGTCTCGAATTTGAAGACGGACGAAGAGTCCGTGAAGCTGAATCCTCCTTCGCTGACTCGTTTCAGTCCTTCGTGAGTGCTAGGTATCTTCACAAGCCTCCGTCCTAGGGCCCGATAACGGGGATCCGGGTGCTGAGTGAAGCTGGAATCGTAAGTTCCGCCGTAGAGGACCATGCCAAAGCCGAGGTCGGAAGCTGCCAGGTCCCCGATGGTTTCGATCGGTTTCTCGTGTGCGGGGATCATGAGGACTGCCGTGAGTCCCGCCCGGTATATCGTGGTCAACACGAACCCCATAAGAAGCCAGAAAAGGGTGAAGAGTCGGAAGGCAGAGCCTGTGTAGGAGAAACCGATCACGAACGACTGCTGCATCAGCATGGAGAAGTTCTTGAAGAATGCCTCCGACAGGGCCCTATGATTCAACGCAAGGATAGAAGTAATATACGAAGTTAGGAAGGAAAAGGAAAAGGCGGACGTGAACTCTTGAAAAAATATTGATATAATGAAAGAAAATGGCAGGGGAGAGATGATACGAAAACGATGAAAGGAACTATAAAACGGAAATACGCCTAGAAAATACTTTTAAAAAACAACCGTAAAGATGGGAATAGAGACATTTACTGGCACATTAATCCAGTATCTGAGCACTTACGAAAGGAGCTGCTTGAATCTGGATCTAAACATGGAGGCCTTAGAAGAAGAATTCCGGTGATGAAGAATGAGCGCCAAGACGAAAGAGATTGCGACGAAGGTGAAGAGAATGAGGCTCCACATTGAGTAAGAAAAGGGTTGGATGAGCACAAGCCAATTCGGAAGGGATCTCGGCCTGGGGACGGCGATCAGGTTGCATTCCTCCATGTATATGGCCGGGCTGAGGAAGTTGATCCGCTCCAAGTCCACGTAGATCTCTGCGAAGGCCACGTCTGCCTTCCCGTTGAACACGTCCCCGACCATTCCGGACCAGTTGCCGTCTTCATACACTCCCCACACTGCCACTTCGGGCGGATATATATCGAACGTGAAATTCAGACTTCCTGCCACCTCCGTCATGATGTGAACGTCGAGTCCAAAAGTTTCGCCGTCCTCTTTACAGACGAAGGGACAATACTCCAAACTCGATGCCTTCAAATGCACGCCGCCTTTGCCTCGACGAGCTTTCGCAAAGAAACGTGCAGGCCAGCGGGAACGAACGGTGATCCAGCTCCCATAGTGAGAGTACGAGACTTCCTTCGGCCTTTGCAGGGTTTCATGAAAATAAACTATGCCTACGCCGGAGTCTCTTCGAAAGCTATCCAAAAACAACCGATGAGCCCATGAAATATCTGTGACTATGAACAGAAGGCTCTTTTCAGTCAGGGAGCGAGTTTTCCTCAAAGAATTGATCAGAGCAAACGGACCCACATTCGTTTCTTCCATCAAAAGGTATAGGAAGTTGGCGCAGGGCCAGCGAAATTCCCGACACTCCAAACTCATATCGCAGGAGCCGAAGAGAGAGAAGTTCACATTGAGGTCGAAGGACAGATTTGCACTCCCCTCTTGTAGGAGCAGAACCAGAGGGCATCGACTGGGATCCACGAAGGAATCCGCCAGATGCGGAATGACATCTTGCAAAGGAGCAGGTGGTGGTTGGAAATTCCAAGATGACAGAGTCTCTAGAGGCAGTAAGAAACTGACGATCAGAAGAGAGTAGTTCATCGCAAGGATGGCGATGAGACGCGTGAGAGGACCGACTGAACCGAATCTGGGAGACCTGTCCGATGTCATTACCAAAGTTTTTCTCGTTCTGGACAGGGAGATTGGCAGCAGAAAGTTCGCATCTCAGGGACTCCCCCGGTTCTCCATGAATTACATAAGAAGGGGTATATATCAAGACCGTATTTAGGGGGGGGGGGGGGTTCATGGGGTTCAAAACCCCCCCCCCCCCCCCCCCCCCCCCCCC